ACGACGCTCCTCCGTTCGACGAAGCCGGTTGAAACGCTTCGCGATCGATTCTTTGGAAACGGAAGAGTTCGGTAGAGACTTGGTAGGATACGTGGAGGAACTGGAAACGGTGGTAAAAACGTTTGTGAAAAAGGAGGGCAAGTGGGTTTTATGCTCGCCAACGACTTCCTCTCCTCGATCGATCTTCCGGGTTCGTACGGTAAATGCTCGTAACCGATATCGTTTCCTCGAGTAGAACGAGACCTGACTCTCCATTGTGCGCTCAATGCGCTCTCGTGTGCGAGCAAAGAAAGAAGAGGAGGAGAGAGGGAGGAAAAGAGGGATACCACGTGCTCCCGAACGATTCGTACGAACGGTTATCGTGTACGATTTCGAATTTAAATTTTAGATCGTAGAGAAATTGGATCGAAATTTTGCGAAGCCGCGTCGTTTCGACTCGATATTTTTTGGAAATATCGCTTCCGCCAATATTGCGTTTTACAATCGTAAAACGAGATAAATCCTTCGCCGTTGAACGTTTTTTTTGTAGCAGCGTGAATCTTCCGGGTCTGTCGAGCGTACTATGTAAATATGTCTCGATGTTTTACGATCAAGGGAACGTTTTAAACCGTATTACGCAGACTTTTTCTCTCGGTTCGAGAAGAAAACTCGAAGGGAAAAAGTCGGAGCCAACTTTATTTCCTATAAATTACCGATGTGAATTTATTACCGATGTTTTCGAGGGAATTTATGGACAAAACGTGTGTCCATATTTCCTCGGCTACAACTTACTCGCGTATAAATCTCTGAAAGTAATTTGCGATTCGAAATTGGAAATCTGATCTAACTAGACAAAGATGGGATTAAAGTTTGAGGGAACGATAATTAATTATTGTCGCGCGTTTATACGAGAAAAGGTAGAGTGGACGTTACACACGCATCGCTTCCGTCCACTCGATCTTCCGGGTTCCACATAAGTGGCGAGCGGCTCGATTCATACGGTATGTATTCCATAACGACCCGACTAGTAAAACTAGTTTCGATTCGGTGGAACGCAAAACCGCCTAGCGATCTCTCTCCCCGGATAACTCCGTAAACGTTATTGAAAAAGGTCGCTCTATGGGAGCTTCTTCTTCATTCATATTCGACGCGCGTGATCATTCACGAAGCGAGCGCGAGTCCTTTCTGTGATAATCGTGAAAGTATCGCGAGGTGAAAACCGATTCCCAACGCGTTCTTTCAATCGGACGAAAAATCGGTTAAACGCGAGGAGGAGAATCTCCGTTGTTTAGAAATCGAGCGCGCGATCTTTTCACTATTTTACTCATCACCGTTATTCTATTAACTCTGTAAATTCTACGCAAACGTACCGATCTACTACCACTCTCGAAAAAGATGCTTGAAATATTTTCAATGGGACTCGTTGGTTGGAGACCGAAACGATTTTCCAAGTGTAGCGCCACGATTACGGTTCAAGTTCGCGTGGGCCACTTCCGATCGATCGGTCTTTTCCGGGTTGCACGTAAGTAACGAATGGTGGGCTCGGCGGTAACCGATATCGTGCAACGAGTAAAACTCGTTTCGGTAGAGCATAAAGGGGACAGAGAGGCAGGGCACACGGCCACTCTCTCGTGGATGGCCGTGTAACCCTATAGGAAACCTTGGGCGAGTTTCACTTTGCGCTCGCCGTTACCACGGGACTCGTCCAAGGGGGACGTAACGCGGGCTGCAAACGCTTCGTCGTATCGAGCATCGCGTGTGAATGCGCCTCCAACAACGCGCCGTGCCCTAATACGACCGCGACTACGGCCTTATTCTTTCGCCAAGTGTCACGCTTATGCCGGAAAAATAGAGAGGACGACCGGTTGCGACCAGTGGTATTCGCGTTCCCCTTTTTTTTTTCTCTATCGCTTGCTCCAGTTACACAATCTTCTCCTCTTCTCTGGATTCCCGTTTAAAACGTTTCGAGTAATTCTTTTCCTCGGAAAAAATGTATTCCAATCCTCTCTCTCGTTGTTATTTTAACGTCCTCCTCCCGATCAGAGATTTTTTTTTACACACGGGGAATACGAAAGTTCGTTCGTATATGGCGTTCACGCACGATTCGTTAGACGAGCGCCACATTTTCAAGTCTATTGTCATCGAAAAAATAACTGTTCCTAACGATACACGTAACAGGAATCGTAGACTTTTCTCGGTATATAAGTCATACGAGACACCGTCCCGTTCGCGGTAGCTGTCTCTACGTCCATAGAATTCGAGGCGACACACGATCGCCAACCGGAGATATCTGCGGTAGGCGCGAACGAAAGTCGATAAATTCCTCGTAATCCCGTTTTCTATAGCTGCCTCGCGCCACTCATATCGAACATCTACTTTTTTTTTCCAACGCTGAAATACCAACGCTTCGACTCGTATCGAGATTCTCGATCACGCCTAAAGCAGAGTTCCTCTGTTACGTGTCGTCGTTACAACTTAAAGGGGGGAGAGAGGAGGAGGAGGAGGAGAAAGAAGAAGACGAAGAAGAAAAAGATACGAAACCGAGTACGAAACGCTCGTAAGTTTCGTGTCACGATACTTTGAAAAAAAAAACACAATGATTGGAAATATCGGGAATCCTGATCTGTCGCGAATCCAAAATAAGCAATGGATAAGCTCTGATTTTTTCGAATCTTCTTCTGTATCTATAGATTCTTCCATTTAATCTAAATTCGATTGTATATATTCCAACTTTCCATATATATATATATATATAATCGTAAGAGAAAAAAATGTTTTCAAACTTGGCGCGCAATCGGCAGATCGACCAATCCGAATTTCAGTCGGGGAGAATTACGATGACCTCGGTACGCCGTGGCAGATGTATCGATTCGAGCGGGTACGAGACACGGGACAACGTGGGGCCATTCCCAACACGAGGATGCACTTTGGATAAGCTGTGGAGGGATCAAAGATACGACGAGGGTAACGCGGCTGGAATTAATGCGGAATGACTAAGCGGCTGCTCGGAACGATCGTTCCACACGCTCGTGCACTATCGAGAAAATATTTCTCCTCGCTACCGCCATCGTCCATCTCTCGCTATAAACATTCCCAATGTCTCTTACGCTCGTTACGTAATCCGCGCCCTTTCACGGTATCCTCCTCGTCGTCGTTTCGACGTCTTGCCACGGGCAACGAAAAAGGGCGTGTTCCTCCACTAGGAAGTCGGCGGCCGTTGTGTTTTATTCTTTGCCATCGTGATTCCGCGTTACGTTGGATCGTTAACTTGGTTTGCTACGGGCGTTTCTCTATGAGTTTGTTGTTTATCATAGGAACAGAGATGCTATCCTCTCTCCGGTGAATATTCATTTCGATGTTTGTCTATTTCCGTTCGCCATTATTATTATATATATATATACCTCTTCCCGTTATTTGTTATATGTTAAAAATAAATAAATATATATATATATATATAAATCACTTCGAATAAGATAAGAAGAGAATGGAGAGATTTAATTCCAATTACAGCGCGGATAATTCAACGACACGAGTAGAGAAAACGTTGAAACGGAAAGGAACAGATACGATACGACTCGAACAATGAAATAAAGTATCGTACGTAATGTCGTTGCACGCGAAACGGCCGATACGCAATACGGGTTCCCGATAAACTTGAAATACGCGTCTTACCGCCGTTATTTGTAATCATTTTTCGTGGCCTTCGATAAATCGAGTGCGTCAGTCTGATATTCAAATGAGGCTGGGACACCAGCGGTGAAGATAGCGACGAGCACGAGAACGCGAGGGACAGAGAGAGAAAGAGAGAGAGAGGGAGGCGAGGAACGAGAGAGAAAGGGAGGTGGAGTGAGAGAGGAAAGGGGTAGGGAGGATAGAAGGAGAGAGAGAGAGAGAGAGAGAGAAGAGGAATAGAGAATGACCGCACTTAGGTCCTTTCGTTACGGAGGAATAAGCCTCCTCGGTCAATGGCTGCGGTATCCGCAGGTTCAAGGAAAGCGGGCTGGTCCGATTCGACATCGTGGTGTCGTTCACGGGGAAACCGAACAGGTGACGCTACTCGTGAAAATGCAGGTTAATGGAATGCCTGGACTGGAATTACGGACACGCGCGAACGTCCTCGTCGAAATGGACGTTGTTTCGAAATATCCACGTATTTTGAAATATCGATAACGAAGGGGAATGCTTCGTTGTCCGATTCTTCTTTTTCTTCGAATGAGAAAAATATTGAATACATGGATGGATATATAATGGAAGTAATAACGGATTGATGTTCGAGGATGTTCCCGCGATCGTTGAAACGTAATTATTATCCATGGATTTGCAGCGGAGAGAGTTATCGATCACGTATACGCGAGACGGAATTTTCTCTCGTCGTTTTTCGAAAGAATGGAAAGATTCGATTACGGGTGAAGTGGCGGGTAACAACGCCCTGTGCAAACAACGATCGCTCGATGAAAATGCGTGTCTTTCTTTTTTTCCTCTCCCTCCGCTCTCGCGCTACACCCTCCATATATATATATATATACACACACGCGCACAGATATATCCGTATCTCGCGGAAAACGGTCGAAAACGGGGAAAATTTAAATTTCCTCCGTGTACAATCGCGAAATAACGAGGAAGATTATTCCCCCTGTATGTTGAAAAGTTGGGTGAAATCGATTGGCGGAGCGGACGGGAAGTGGGCGCGTTTCTTGGTCGCGTAGAACGGTGTAATAAAATCGTAGCGGTGTAGGGATAGTTAGATCGGACGCGATGAAGCCGGGTCTCTCGAAACCGCACCGGCTTTCTTTCCTCTTTCCGAGGACGACTTTGACGAACTCCGTGTATATCGCCGCCAATCCCCCTCCTCTGCTGCATAGCAACAAACCGATCGATCGAACCGGCAACATTTTGGTGGAAATTGTTTTCGGGTGGGAATATCGTCGGTGGGACGAGAGCGAGAGACACACGACGACGAGGTTAGCCCGCGTGTGGGACGTGTTTGCGTGCAGTTATCGATCTAAAAGTATATCCCATACCGGTGCATGAAGGCGGCAGTCGACATGTTATTATCCATGGGGTGGTTCCATAAATCGCAGCCCTTCTACGCCAACACGGCCCGTTTTTAACACACGCCCGTTTTCCCGCCGTGGCACCGGCGAAAAAACGGGGGGGAGGGAGGGGAGGAGAGGTTGGTCGAAGCCACAGAAAGAGAGAGAGAGAGAGAGCGAGACGATCCTCGTTGATCCTCGCGAATCCTCCGTCTACTTATTCCGCGAACTCGTTCCCCGGAGGGAATATCCGCGGATGAAATCGGTCCGTGGATGGCAACAACCGTTTGCCAACACCTGCACGACTCGACAGGTTGAAACCGTCCGCTGAACTGAAGTCAGAATGCGCATTCGTCGGTTTCCATGGTAGTGGCCGATGCTGGGTGGTGGTGGCGGTGGTGGTGGTGGTGGCGCAGCGGAGGAGCCCGGTAGCTGTGCCCGTGGTGGGGATTGACGGAACAGACCGTCTGCCGGGCTCTCTGGCTGGCGCGTTCACAACCAGGTGTCGATGCCACGGAACCTAAGGTTCCGTTCACATGATGGTCGGACAGTTTCCACCGATCGACACGCGTGACTGTTTTCGTTCCGAAAAGGGGGAGTCCTCCTCCTCGTTCCAACTGTTTCATTTCTTCAAATTAGTATATAGAGCTATAGAATACGTTTCGAATCGAAAATACGTTGGAAAATTGTCAATAGGAGGAAGCATCAGCTAGTTCTCGAATCGTTTGTTTCGATCTCTTTAACGGCTACGCGGATCTTTCGGTCGTGATGCAACTCTGTAACTCTGGACGTTCTCGACGAGAAAGTTACGGGGGCAGGTCGGTTTTATCGAAACGATCACGATGTTCCCTTTTTCGAACACTGTAAGCACGCGCGTTGAACTTTAATAACTTTCTTGTGGGCGCCTTGGACGGTTGCGGCATCGGGATAGCGAAACCACGCAAATACATTTTCCTCCGCCCGTCCTTCCTATCTATCGCCGATCTTGTAATCACTTACAAAACGATCCGCCCTTTTCCTTTTTTATCCTGAGAACCGAGTTTACCCTCGTGCATCAGCCAACCCGACTCCGCGGACCGTGAACGCGCGGTCGTCGAATCGATAAATGGATCTCGCGAGGCCTGCGTCTACGCGAATCTCTATTCGCCGTATTCATCCAAGATCGAATCAGGTGGTAGTAGTATAAGATATTGAAGTTAAAAAAAAAAAAAGAAAAGAAGAATAGTATTTTTCCCTTCGAAACAATGTGAATTCTTCGTGGAAGTAGAATATAGCTACGGTTTTGAATAGAGCGTAAAAATCTTGCTGGAATCGGAATAACAATAACAAGAAAGTTTTATGAAAACTCGAACGTTTCTTGCTTCAACGGCATCGGCTCGTCTACAACGAGGAAGAAGCAGAAAGCTTAAAATGCAGCTTCTTAATGCACCCAGCCTCCTTTCTACGCCACGGCTTTTTTCCTCCCCTTCTTCCATTATCTTCTATCTCCCAAACCGACCGACCCTTCGTTCAACCGATCATTACACGAAAAATACTCGCTAAAAAACCTCACCTCTTATTCTTACTACTCCAAAACACTCGCCTAATCTCGACGAAATTAAAACACATCTTATTCTCCTTCCGTCCGACCATTTATTCTTCACTCGTCGTTCGTGTAATCCTTCTAGATCTACCGTGCACGACGCGTGTGTTTCTAGCTCCATTCATCGGCCGACCCTTTTTCAACGGCCCTTTTCATCATCATCATCTCGCACAGGGAAAAGAAGTCGAAGCGAGCACACGAACCAACTTCTCCGGATTCTTTTCGTCATTGCCTTTCCCTCCCTATTTAATTCCATCTTCTCTCCCCCCGTCTTCGTTCCTCCAGCTATACTCCCTTGCGCGACAGAAGGAGGAGGAGGTGTTCAGGACTCCCGCCTCGTCCCGCTGCTCCACTTTCCAGTCCACGAGATTTCCAGCTTCGGAACGAAGAATGCTATTGGATCGCCGCGGATCCACCGAGTCGCGCGCGCGGTTCCGACCGAGTAAATTAACGCCGCTTGTATTTTTTTGCGACGGGTAACGGTGAAACGCAAATATTTGCCAAGAGTATATACGCGGCAAAAACGCCCCTCGTGGGGCCCGGTTGATTAATTGGCATCCCAAATAAAGCGTGTCCGTTTCGCGCTCACCGATGAATCAAATACGAACGCGAGTCAAGTTTAATTCTCTTTTTTACAATCTTTCGAGAGTAATATCGATCGTATTTGCGTAAAAACTCATAAACACGACGAACGATCGTCGAACACGAGCGTGGTTGTCGATCGTTTCCAATGGAAAGAGGCGCCGCAAACTTCTAACTCTCGAGTCGAGTTGTAACTTTGGTCGAAGCTCATATATAAGCTCTAATTAAAGTGTTAAAGTTTACTTTAGTAGAGCGACGATTTTATTTGTGACGCGTTGCAACAAGTTCGAGGAGATGGCTCGACTCGGTGTTTATTGGTAGGTTGAACAAGCAAAATGTCTGGTCGAGTACAATGGTTGCGCGTTATCTTGCATAATAGTTCGGTCGGGCCAATTGCATTGGCCTACTCACAGCTCCTCTTTTCCCGAGTTCGAGTACAATTTAATTTGCAAGCGAAGAGCGGCGAGTTCGAGTGGCACCGCGGAGTTCTCTCGGTTTCACCTGGACGAATCCCCCGGTTCCGCTCTATTCCGGATTTAATGCTCGAGACGAAATCAATACGTGGAGATATCTCTCGTCTACCGTGAGTGTCCCTGCTCGCATCCACACCCGATGCTCCTCCTCCTCCTCTTCCTCTTTTCCTTCATTTCTTTTTTCTTCTTTCGTTCTTTCTTTCTTTCTTTATTTTCCCTCGTCTCGTCTCCCGATGAGGGACCACCGAGTCAGCAGGCCGGAAAGTATGTCAATAAAGAGAAAAAGAAGGAACGAAAAGAACGACGAAACACGCTGTGCAGGAAATCCAATTTTTAAGCCACTCAGACATGCAAAGATAGCTGCGTCCAATCGATCAAATCGTTCCTCCATTTCGCAATCTAAAATCAAGTTTCGTAATTTTCTACGATTCGGTTATTTATCGCTGAAAATCTTTCGAATCGTTTCCATTAAAAAAAAAGAAAAAAGAACTAATAATCATGGCGTCGAGCGAGCAACTACGCTCGAATCTTTGGAGATTCAACCAACCGAGAACTTGGCAAACTTTGCCACGTTGAAAAGGGGCGAATACGATTGAATTTCCTCCGCAACGAAACGCCGAACACGCAACGAGCACAGTTGGCACAGATCGGGAGGCGCAGACGCATTAGTTTCCCGATTCCAATCGTTTTCCTCGACTCGTGCACGATTTTCAATTGTCCCGACGTGGGACAAGAAACGCGCGAGAAAAGAATGGAGGGAAGTGTGTGCGCGCAGCACACACACGCGGTTACTGGGATTGGAGCACGAGTACGAGTGAGTATTATAGCTCCGGTAGTGCGTTGCCTTTCATTCGTCATTGTCCGAGGACCCTTTGTGGTAACGCGCGAGAATGACTCGTACACATGGGTTATTCGCCGCGGAGGACGGGTTACGAACGTGCACGCACGCGTGCGTGGGATTACGTGGGACACGGTTACAGCGTTTCCAGAATGGGGAAACGGCGCGTGAAAACTTATCGCGCGTGTGTGGCCCTCGAGGGCCGATGGAATAACGCGAGGATGGAGGAGAATCGCGCGAATCGTGAAAGTCGAGTTTGAATTAGGGATAGAAAAGAAGAAACGAACCGAGAAACTGACGGGGCCATACGTACTTTTTTCCTTTTTCGGATTTTCGTGGCGCGGTTAAGCGGGCGATTCTGCAGATTGCACGCGAATTGTTCGCGCCAGTAATCGCGCGGAAGAAGTTTCAATCTACGGTTGAATATACGGTGGGTGGAACGTATGAATCTGGATAGCTCCGGGTTCTTTCGTTTGTTCGATTTTGGCCGATGAGTCATTAGCCACCAGGGCTTTATCCAGTCGGAGGGTAACGAAAAGGGGGGAAGGAAAAGGATATTCCTTTTTCTTCCTCGTAAAGAAAAAGAAAATAATAATAATAATAATAATCTGTTGATTAATCGACGCAACAGATTGGAAAGATGGATATGTAGGAAGTAAGAGGAGGATAAAGTAAGGAGGATGGAAAAGTATACGGGTGGTTGGAACGCCTTCGGAATGGCAGCCAGTCACGCCTTGGCGCAAAGACTACTCGGCGTAGGGTGACGCACACACTGGCCGGGGTGAATAAACGTGAAGGGAAGGAAGGACGTGACGATGATATACACGAGTGGAAAACACATTACGAATAATTAGAATCGCGAGAAACGACAAAATACCTGGACAATGGAGTAATGGAAATTTGATGAAACGCGGATACGATGGATAATTCTTGACAGAGAACCCGAGTTGAAACCCGTAGAAGAAATTTTCGACAAGGATTGTACCTTGTCTCCGTATCCGTGAAAATTTTTCCCTCGTCTGTACGGTTTGCCCCGGGGCCATGGGAAATTTGGCAGAAACTATCCGCACACGTGCTCCATTGAATATTTTAAAACTCAACGGAAACGATATTTCCTCGCCGAGTGGAATTGGTTCGGTGATAAAATATGGAAACGTTGAAAAAAAAATGCTATGTATCTTTATAATATCGTGCGTATAATTTTCATCGCGGATACTCTTTTGTCGTAGACTGTACCGTCGTTCGATAATTAAACGGAAGATAAAAAGCAAGGCTGATAGAATGCGACGAAGGTTTATTTTGGCGAGACGCCTGGATTACGGGAACCCGTCGTGCTTTAATGCAAGGAGGCCTGCTGCAGCCTGACAATAAAGGGGTGAATAAGCTGTAGGCAAACATATAGCGGAAGGCGGCCGTTATTGAACACGCAGACTTTCAAACGCTAAACTTCGATTAGAGCGTCGGACAATCGTTCGACGAGCCGTTTGGTTTATCATTTTTTAATTCTATTTTGCAAGTTTGTGCGTATACTCGATTATATCTCCCTCGATTTGAACAAACTCATTGAAATATTTATTCCATTTCCTTGTATTCCAACTTGATTTAAATTATCGACGAAAAATCGTACGTTCTTCGAACGAAAGGGAAAAAACATCGAAACGTGTTGGACAAAAATTTCTTGCCTCCGCTGTACATCCGGATGACCGTGTGAAATATCGACGCGCAGCTTACATCGCTCTCCTACGGTTCCAATTGGCCCATCGTGTTTTTGTATCCGATAAAAAATTGCTTGTCGTTTCCAACAAACAATTTCTTACAAATAATCGATCCTGATAACAAAAGTTTTCTTTTCCTTCAAATTATTTAAATTATTTAACTTGAATTGGCGAGGATGAAACGTTTGG